CTGCTGACTGAAAGGTCTACCCTGCACATTTTAGCGTGACTTAGTACTGATAGTTTAAATATTCTCTCCTCAGTCTATAAAACCTCAAAAATATGGCTCAAACAAAACACACATCTGTGTAAAAAGGCATTATAAGTTTTGTTTGTATTCCTAAGTTGCTCTGCTTTAGACAAAGCTCTTTGTCAACTCTTTTCAGTCTAGTTAGAAGCTTCAAAAACTGTCCCAAGCACTTAATCTAACAAGCTCACACTCGGACATAAACCACCACTAAAACATTCTCATTGGTCTTTCAAAAAAATCTTTGGCCAGAGAGTTTTGTATTTTGGCAAGACAATTCAAAGTATTTACCATTCAGGCAATAAGAACCCATCTCTCTCAACACTGCTACAGTGTCTGACTGTCTGTTGGTCTTAGTTTTCACATTTTAATGTTATTTTTAAATTTGAATCCTTCAGTGTACTGACACTTAAGATGCAAAGCAAGAAAGGACAGTTTACTTCTGAGTGAGGCAAGTCACTTAGAAAGAGTCCTCACATGTCAATTACAGTTGCTTACTAAAAGCCCTCCATCCATGACAGTTTCCTCACATTCTTGTGCCTTTCCCTAGTACCAATAGTCTTTTTAACAATTCCAGTGAAAGCAGATAAATGCCTGTATTTAACAGTGTCAGCTCTTCATGTGAGGTTTCTATTGAGGCAAAATATGGTATTTTGAAATAGAACTTGGATAGAAAGACCACTTCACCCTCCCTGTACCTAGAGTCCATAAAGCCTTTCAAATCTAGTACTACAGCAACCACTGTCGAGATAAACCAAGGACTGCCAAATTCTTCACCTTGGTGTTTTCCATTTCCTTGAGTTAGCCAAAATCTGTGTACGCATTCAATTTTTTCCTAAACACTTACTTCATGATCTGCAGATCACTGGGCAAATGGATTGCTCTGTTCTTGTATGAGCTGCTACAGGAAAAACTGAGAAGCAAGCTGAGCAGCGAGACAATTGTCTGTGGGATGTCCCACAAAGTGGTAAGCATTCCCATGAGCCAAGCAGAAGGCCTGGAAAGGAAGGAACCCTCTGCTCTGAACCCAGGAGAGAAATTTCCTACAGTTTCATGATGCACAATATTTTGCGATATGCATCTTGTAGCATGTAAATACACTTTCTTTATCTAGTTCAGATGATCTAGTTTCAAGTATACGAGCACGAAGGTGAGGACTCAGAAGTGTTGTTTGCGCTGCTGGGTATCTGTATTCCCTGGTGAATGTTTTCACCGCATCATTACAGCGTCTCTTTGACGAAGTCCTTCGGGAAACGGTTGCTGTTTACAATTTAGCAGACTGTCGAGACTGCTCTGCAGGCTCAGAGGCAAAATTAACACACAAGAACAACTTGTTTTGAAAGAGCTTTCTTGAATTTCACAGTAGGAGGGAAGAGAACCGCCATACAGCTCCTAGACTGACACTTCTCCAATTTACATCCACGCTATAAACCTCGTC